TGTTCCTACAAACACACGGTGGTCTTTCACATCTAATAACACATTTACTGCTAACTTGCAGTATCGTGGATTACCTTCAAGTTGTTTTTCTGAGACTTCATATTGTTTAGAATGCTCTTTTACATGTCCATTCATGCATAGTATTAATAATACTAATTCAGGGCCTCTCCATCACTGGATGGTTTTAATGATAGTCTTAAGACTTACTACTCCTAGCTTTGATTTTTCTTTTTACTTTCATAATATGTTTTATAATTGACTATTTCTTATTGTAAAACACTTTGGGTCCACTTATGTGGTGTTAAATGTGCTCTATGAATAAAAAAAAATTAATGCAATAATAATGTTCATTTAGAGTTGTTTTGCGATCTAAATGGTAACATTTATTATCTTGTATGGCAGTGTCTGACTGTTAATCTTAATGCTTCTCATTTCTGGCTCATATTAATTGCTGTAAAATGTAATTAAAGAGTAATTGTGGGTATGGTACATTAAATGAGTTTGTAACTTTACCTATGAACATGACTGTTTCCTGTTGAATGCGCACAGGTTTAATAGTATGGTAAGGGTGCTATTCATTAGAGAACACACCAAATGATTTGTCTAATGTGTATAATTTGTTGGTGAATTTCTTGAAAACCACCAAGAATATATTTGGCTCATTTTTTTTTAATTAACTATTTTTTTAAGAGCTGTTGTTATCTTATGCATTGGTTTTGTTTCTTTTATATGCTGGTGAGGTTTTTTTGTTGTTTTTTTTTGGTTATTGCTGAGAAATTAAAAACAAAACATTATTTCCTGCGTTGCGACTGAGAAATTGAGGGACTTTCTTTAGCAGTCCATCTTAGTCTAGAGATTTTAGTGTGGGTGGTGGGATTTTTTAAAACTCTTTCAAGTGGCTTGTATATGTTTACTCAGAATTTAATGGTTGCTTATGGGAATTTAAGCTTCGGTTTAATTGAACCACGGCTTTCTCAGTCAAATAGTATCCGCTGTACTTTCTTATACAGGTTTTTTTTTTCTCAGAGCTGAGTATTTCAGAATGCGGGGGGGATTTTGGAGTGGGGTTTCACAGCACTGTAAAGCTGAAAACCATAAAGTATGTCGGGCTCTTTCCCCACACCCTCTTGTGGTTTCTGTCATTCTCTGGTTCTCGCTCTCCCTTTTTCTTTTATTGTCTTCAAACAACAGAGCAGGCTAGAGCTGACTTGCAGTTTCATGTGGCGTTTGCATGATCCTGGTTTTCCTGGAAAATGAGTCAGTCAGTCCCCCCCGTCTCCATTTTAAAACCCCTCCCTTTTGCGTCTAGAGCCATTTTAAACATTAAACTTGTTCTAAAAATGTTGTATTTAAGATAAACTTGAAGTCTTTGTTGCCTTACTGAAACCCTTAGTAAATTTAGTAACTAAGGTGATTACGCCGTGTGTGCGCACCTGTGCATTATGAATGATTTTGCTTTCCTGGTATGTGAAACGTTTCAGTGAGTCATGTTTGATTAAATCCTGTTTTTGACCGCAAGCAGGAGAGCGAGACAGATAAAGACCCTCAGCCCCTGTCCGATGAATTCTTGTGTTGTTTAACACAATGGTGCCAAACCTGCGCTAACTTGCCTCTTACCTTTCCAGCTCGCTTCAAGGTCAAGAGTGAACTGATTGTAATGCAGTATTGTATGAATCACAGTTGTGTGCCATTCAGAATAGAATTTAGAATCTTTTTTTAAATTACACTTAAAATAAATAGAATGCTTAAATGTCTTGTGACCATAGCAACAGTGAAAAGCAAAATGGCCACTTTTAAGGAAAGAGTCTTGAAAGAGAGAAGACAAAAACAGACCAAACATAAATAAGTTTATCTACTTCCTCTGGTTATGCTAATAGGCTTAGTCCATTAATTGTTTAAAACCCATTCAGAGTGATTGGCCAAATGGCTCTGCTAACGTAATTAATTAAATTAAGTGTGCTCTCAGAACAATCGTTATGCCATAGGCCAAAGTTTTGATTTTATGAGGTCTTTAAATCATTCTTGTGTCACTCAATAGTGACTGTTCCTTCAATTTCTGATGTTTGCATTGGATTACATTATGAAAGAGTGATTTTGCACATTTTTCTTTGGTGATTTGACTTGGAACAAATGGTGCCAAGTGTAATTTCCTCATGTAAGTTATTTCTCTTTGTAGGTACGAGAAACGGAAACATGGGTACCTCTGAAAAACAAGTTACCCCATGAGGATCTGGAGTCTTCCGGCGACTCTCCGAATGAAGATTTTGAGTTTGCTGGTTTAAACCCAACTGACGATGAGGATAGCTTTGATGACGACGACAATGATGATGATGATGATGAAGAAGAAGATGATTATGATGGCTCAGGCTCTGGGTTTTTAGAAGAACCCATAGACAGCAAGGTAGATATGATTTTTTTTTTCTTTGAAAAATTGAGTAACAACTATTAGGATACTACAGAAATGCCTGTTAGGAAACACAACAGTGAATCTTAATTAATGAGGTTTTTGCCTACTACAAGTGAATCATTTTAAAGTGAAATGGTCTTTAAAGAATTCTTCTAAATTGAAATTACATTTTATATTATTACAGTTAATAAACAGACAGCGCATCTTTCTATTGCATTTTATACTCTGGTTTAATACAACAACAAATATGCAATGCAAACCGTGTCATCTGATTTGTGACTCTTATGAGCCTATTGTTTTTAATGAATGTCAGAGTGACTCTCTATTGAGTCACAGACTGACTCATTGGTCTAAAGTAACTCATTCATGGTTGCTGAACTGACTCACTGATTTAAAAACCATTACTTCGGGTCATATCCAACTTGAATTGCCATTTCTTTCTTATGCATGCTTATGATTCATGAAGCCATGAGTTGAATTACTGATTGGTTGTTCATATGACAGATTTTTGTTGTATATGCAACCGATTAGATTTTTATATGAACTTTCTTGTGACCGTTTTCTCCTTTCTCAGACTGGTCTCTTCAATGGTAACCAGATCCCTGATTTTAAGGGTCCATTTGATCCAAGGCCAACTGATTATAACGATGTTTTGGTTAAAAACAATGAGGTCGGCTTGCCTGGAGCACCAAACCAAGACCGTGACCAGCTCAGCAATGTGCTCATGACCCATGCTGGAGATGACAACTTGTTAAACAACACAGAGGTGCTTGCAGGTGAGGAGACATTTGATTTGTTTGCAATAGTTACAGTTTGATATGCAAAGTAAATAGAATTAATAGATATTATTGGGCAAAATTTGAATATTTAAATGTAGTAAAACGTTTGGTACACTAGAGTTTAATGTTTTGCTTTAAAATAAATTCCACTGGTTTGTTTTATCATTTAACGCAGTATTTTCTAGTGTTATTTCAGTATTATTATTTTTTAAGTTTAAAAGTCTGAATTGAGAGGAAAAAAGTCATGATTACCTTTTTTAAATTTTATTATCCCATGGTGAAAATGTGTTTGCATGTCATTTTTATTTTATATTTCTACATTGCTTTAGTTTATTGATATTTTCCCTTTAAAAAAATTTTTTTTTTTAGTAAATTTAGTACTTTAACTTATTTCAGTTAGCTGCCAAGGCAACATTTCTAATTTTGATTTAAGTTTTTCATCAAATATTTGTAATTTATTTTATGTCCGTTACTGAAAATGCAGTAACAATAACAAAGCTGGTATTTTCATACATTTGCAAGTATATTTTGAAAATACACGCAGGCCGCTGGTATCCATTAACGCGGTGTCTGTAAGTTATGCCTCCCTCACATTTTTCTATTTCTGTTTTCTAGCTGTTATTGCGGGCGGAGCAGTTGGTCTGGTCTTCGCCATCCTCCTCATCGTCCTGCTGGTTCACTTCGTTCTCCGCATCAAGAAGAAAGATGAAGGAAGTTACGACCTGGGCAAGACGCCCATCTATAAGAAAGCTCCTACCACAGAATTCTATGCATGAGCATCCACACCCTTGCATACCTTCTCTCCCTCTCTTTTGAACTATAAGCTCACACAGTGCCTCGGCCCAACAGGCCACCAACCTCTCACATACCACGAAAACCACAGAAGGACCTCACACAAATAATTCACTCTGCCTGGACATTTGCATTGAAATCTTAAAGTGACTAGGAGGGGATGGCGTCTGTTGCCAAACCGCTCGAGTCAAAAGAAGTCTTGTTCTCTCACACTTATTGCCTTTTCACCACGTGGCCCATTGTGTCCATTATATATTTTTAAATAAAACACTACAAGGTGCAATGGAGCCATTCACAGGTTAAAGGCTTTGGATTGACCATTGAACCAGCCGTTATGAAAAAGAGTCCGTGTCACGATCGGTGCTACAGAAAGGGATGGTTACTGTAGCCTTTTACGTTATCAGATGTCTTTTGTTTTTAAATCTGTGTGCTGTTAAACTTTTTATTTCCTTATTAAAACATCAGAGGTGGAACCAAATTGAGGGCATGCAGTATATGTTTGAAACTAAATTCTGTGAGAGCAAAGCTGAAATCGGTGTGCTAGACTAATGTATACTCATTTCAACCATGGTGTTATGATACATTCCTCATATCTGTATGTTATTGCTGTGTTGGTTTTGTGTGACGAGAGACTTAGTACTGCTAACTATAGTGCTGCTTGACTGTCAGCTAAGCTCCTTTAACAGGTACAGATGTTGATCAGCTCACATTAAACAGACTTTGTACATCCAGGGATCTGTATATAGCCATTTGAATAAAATGTAAAACTTTGGTACTTAGCCATTTCTTGACAGCCTTTTATTTACCAAATATTTAAATGCCAAAATAGTTTTTATTGTTCTTATATCTCATCCCGGTATTCGCTTTTGGCGTAAAACCTGTTCGTGAAACGCAGATGCTTTGCATCTGTATCTTTCGGAAACATTTATGGAAAATGTTTTGTTTGAGAACAATGACCAATGCTAGTACTAACTTTTTTTCAGTGTTTTTGTAGATGTTCTTAATTCCTTTTTTATTTGACATTTTTTGGTATTAATTTAACTGTCATATTTTATTGCCTGCCTTCAGGTCGGGGGTGTTGCTCCCCCTTCTCAGCTATTGTACATGTGATAATTTTATTGTATTTTTTATTTTTTTTTGGTTTTTAGATTTGTTTTATATACCGTAGTGCAAAAAATTCAAAGGCTGTTAGTCTTTTGACAAGATTTTTTTTTTTTAATAAGAGTTTCTATTTCTTTTAGACTGCCTTCAGGTCGGGGGTGTTGCTCCCCCTTCTCAGCTATTGTACATGTGATAATTTTATTGTATTTTTTTTTTTTTTTGGTTTTTAGATTTATTTTATATACCGTAGTGCAAAAAATTCAAAGGCTGTTAGTCTTTTGACAAGATTTTTTTTTTTTTTTTTTTTTTAATAAGAGTTTCTATTTCTTTTAGACTTAAGCCGAATCTATTTATGTTTTGTAGAAGGATGTTCTGGATTAGTTAAGGGGAACGTGATTGAGCTGTGCATTACTAGCATGGTGTAAAATGATTAAAAAGAGAAAATTCTGCTGCTTTGTTTGGTCACATCCAGATGAAATCGCTGATCTAATGTTGAAGTCAATGAATCATTGATTTTTGCATGCAGATTCTGATTTGTTGAAAATAAAGCTATTTTATGCACATAACCATGGTGTCTTAAGCTTTTTTCCCCCCCCATAAAAGTCCTCATAAATTTGCCTTTTAATGATGTCACTACACTAAAAAATGCTGGGTTAAATACAACCCAGTATCGCTGATCTAATGTTGAAGTTAATTAATCATTGATTTTTGCATGCAGATTCTGATTTGTTGAAAATAAAGCTATTTTATGCACATAACCATGGTGTCTTAAGCTTCCCCCCCCCCCATAAAAGTCCTCATAAATTTGCCTTTTAATGATGTCACTACACTCTAAAAAATGCTGGGTTAAATACAACCCAGTGCTGGGTAAAATAGGGACAAACCCAGTAATTGGGTTGTTTTGACCCAGCGGTTCTGGATAGTAACCCAACCACTGGGTCAAAACAACCCAATTGCTGGGTTTGTCCCTATTTTACCCAGCATTTTGTAGAGTGTATATTTCTTCAGATGTGATTAAGAAATTGATAATTGAAGGTTTATTCTGTAATGTCAAGTAGACCTTCCTCTTGACCTAAAGCACAACTTGTCAAAAATTAGTTTGGTTAGGGTTTGTGGTATAGAAAGGCTCGGAAACTAGACATTAGTAAAGGAGGACGTATGAAATGAGAAACACTTTAGTTTACAGACACACTTGAATTTGAAGCTAACGAGGCTGAGGTTTGGTTTCAGAGACTGAGGATCTGCAAGGAGCAATGGAAAGAAGGTAGATGATGTTTCACAGTTATCACAGGAAAAAAATTAGTTTTTATTGATTTTATATTGTGGGTACTCTATGCTCAATGTCTTGGGATTGTTTCAAGGAATCAGTTATTTTGCTATGGTCCTTCAAAACAGAAGCTATCTGAGCCACCATTGTGGTTCCTCAGATTGCCACATTGGTGGAACCTTCTGGAAAACCTAAATTTCAAGTGCTTAAATAATAATAAAATGGGGATGGAGGTATTTTTGACAGTCTTGAGAGATCTTGCATGAACTTTACATCTTGTAAGTTACTCTGCAAAATGACCTTTTGGATGCTGTGCCGAGAAGTTCTCCAAACTGAGGCCTTCTTTGTGGAAGATAGACTTTATCTATGTCTAGTTTGCATCTGTATCTTTCGGAAACATTTATGGAAAATGTTTTGTTTGAGAACAATGACCAATGCTAGTACTAACTTTTTTTCAGTGTTTTTGTAGATGTTCTTAATTCCTTTTTTATTTGACATTTTTTGGTATTAATTTAACTGTCATATTTTATTGCCTGCCTTCAGGTCGGGGGTGTTGCTCCCCCTTCTCAGCTATTGTACATGTGATAATTTTATTGTATTTTTTTTTTTTTTTGGTTTTTAGATTTATTTTATATACCGTAGTGCAAAAAATTCAAAGGCTGTTAGTCTTTTGACAAGATTTTTTTTTTTTAATAAGAGTTTCTATTTCTTTTAGACTTAAGCCGAATCTATTTATGTTTTGTAGAAGGATGTTCTGGATTAGTTAAGGGGAACGTGATTGAGCTGTGCATTACTAGCATGGTGTAAAATGATTAAAAAGAGAAAATTCTGCTGCTTTGTTTGGTCACATCCAGATGAAATCGCTGATCTAATGTTGAAGTCAATGAATCATTGATTTTTGCATGCAGATTCTGATTTGTTGAAAATAAAGCTATTTTATGCACATAACCATGGTGTCTTAAGCTTCCCCCCCCCCATAAAAGTCCTCATAAATTTGCCTTTTAATGATGTCACTACACTCTAAAAAATGCTGGGTTAAATACAACCCAGTGCTGGGTAAAATAGGGACAAACCCAGTAATTGGGTTGTTTTGACCCAGCGGTTCTGGGTAGTAACCCAACCACTGGGTCAAAACAACCCAATTGCTGGGTTTGTCCCTATTTTACCCAGCATTTTTTAGAGTGTATATTTCTTCAGATGTGATTAAGAAATTGATAATTGAAGGTTTATTCTGTAATGTCAAGTAGACCTTCCTCTTGACCTAAAGCACAACAAACAATTAGTTTGGTTAGGGTTTGTGGTATAGAAAGGCTTGGAAACTAGACATTAGTAAAGGAGGACGTATGAAATGAGAAACACTTTAGTTTACAGACACACTTGAATTTGAAGCTAACGAGGCTGAGGTTTGGTTTCAGAGACTGAGGATCTGCAAGGAGCAATGGAAAGAAGGTAGATGATGTTTCACAGTTATCACAGGAAAAAAAATAGTTTTTAATGATTTTATATTGTGGGTACTCTATGCTCAATGTCTTGGGATTGTTTCAAGGAATCAGTTATTTTGCTATGGTCCTTCAAAACAGAAGCTATCTGAGCCACCATTGTGGTTCCTCAGATTGCCACATTGGTGGAACCTTCTGGAAAACCTAAATTTCAAGTGCTTAAATAATAATAAAATGGGGATGGAGGTATTTTTGACAGTCTTGAGAGATCTTGCATGAACTTTACATCTTGTAAGTTACTCTGCAAAATGACCTTTTGGATGCTGTGCCGAGAAGTTCTCCAAACTGAGGCCTTCTTTGTGGAAGATAGACTTTATCTATGTCTAGGTTACTATAAATGGTGTCCTGAAACCATGCGAGAAACATTGCATGACAACATTCAAAAAAAAATTTTTTTTTTTTACAATTCTTAAAAAAATAAATAAAAACTACCAATTTTGGGTAATAAGATTCAGTAGAGCAATAGAAAGCAATGCTTTTATTCAGCAAGAATACATTAAATTGATCAAAAGTGACAATAGAAACATTTATAGTGTTACAAAAGGTTTCTATTTCAAATAAATGCTGTTCTTTTGAACTTTCATCAATGAATCTTGAAGAAAATGTATCATTGTTTGCACAAAAATATGAAGCAGCACAACTATGGATAATAAATTACAATGATAATATTTAGAAAAGTTTCTTGAGTTGCAAATCAGCATATTAGAATCATTTTTTGAAGGATCATGTGACACTGAAGTCACATGGTTTGCATATTGTTTGTTCATGAACCTATTTGTGATAGATGAACTTTGAATAATGAGACAGACTTTAATATGTAATGTAAGTGCCTCAGTGTTAAACTGGGAATTTCCACCTCTAGAGAAATGACTGTATGCAGCTGTGTGTGTGTGTGTGTGTGTGTGTGTGTGTGTATCCAGCATGTTGATGCCTGTCTGCTTTGCTACCAAAACATATGAGCATACCAAGAGAATAAAGGCTGTTTTCTTTTAGGATTGAAGGATAAAAATAGAAAATGTTTTGATTAAAAAGTGTAAAGGGTTATGCATGGACCTTGATCATATCTAGTTTTGTTTCTGTTTTTAAAATGAGATACACTGACAGGATTCCTTAAACCAGGCCAAGGCTTAATCTTGTGGCAAAAACAAACACAGCGGCTCCAAAAACTTTTTGCAAAAGTGTGTTTGCACTTTTTTTTGTCTTTAAATATACTCCCCATAAAAATGAACAATCTGTCATCATTTACTCACCATCAAGTTGTTCCAAACCACACAATTGCTGGTAGCCATTGATTTCCATAGTATTTCTTTCCACACTGTGGAAGTCAGTGAGGACCAGCAACTGTTCAGTTACCAATATTCTTCCAAATATCTTTTGTGTTCAACAGAAGAAAGAAATTCATACAGGTTTGAAACAAGCTGAAGGTGAGTTAATGACAGAATTTTTCATTTTTGGATGAACTATCCCTTTAAAGTAAATGCCATTTGGTTTGATATTTTGTTATGCAATGATATTCATACATTTTTAAGCTTGGCATAGTGGCTAAATACTTTTTATAACCGCATTAAGTGATTGTCTGTATGATAATGCAACGTTATAAGGGTTATTGGGGGTGTGTTGAACACGTGCCCTCTCTGACGTCACACTTTCACACCTGAACGAGTCCAGGTAAATTTAGCACGAACAGTCGGTTGAGCCATTTAGGAAAACCAGTTGAAACCTGCTTGGCAATAGCTATAGAAATTCAATGACCTGCATGGGGAAGTTCCCTTGCGATTGATTATATCTGGCAAAGTTGTGCTGTAAAAATATCTGAATGCAGATTGAAAATAGATGCAAATCTCCTGTAGCCTCCGGTTACAGGTTGAATGGACTAGACAAGGAATATTGTGCAGTTTTTTTTCAGTTTGAACAGTTTCATCATTAACACGCGTGCGTTTCCTGCTTCACATTTGTATCAGAAAAACAAGTCATGGAAGGTTCTGGAAAATGTTCAAACTGTCACGTATTACGCCATCCTATTGGAAGATGAACGGTGCCTTTTCACTTTCAACTACAGCCCGGGTTTGTTTACTCAAGAGGTGGGGCAAAAGACAGGAGAAAACGACGGTTTGCCACATAAACGCACTTTATGGAAATAATTAGCAATGTTTCTCATTGCTATTAGTTCAACTAATGTTAAAGTAACCCCTACATTTAGATCGAACACAAGGAACACCAGGGCTAGTTGTCACTAAAATATCAGTAACTAGGCCTATAAGATTATGAGTCAAAATTGCACACGTCTATATCTATATAATGACAGTAGCTATATCTTTTAACAGATGGGTATGCTATTCTTCAGTACACTAATATGTCAGTTAGGGGCAAGTTGCCACGTTTTGATAAAAAAAAATAAATAAATAAAAAAAAAAAATATATATA